TTGTAGGCCCAAAATATGTGAAAGTACTAAACTGGAGAGTTTAGTTAACACCAGTTAACAGCTATTCTCCATGATGTTAAATATATATCTTGGATATGAATTTGATAGAGATCAATATATTTTTTTGGTTTACTGCTCTATACATCAATTTTGAGATCCAACCAGGAAAACATTGGTTTTTTTTCTACTGATGGAACTGGTCTAGGAATTTTTAGATGTGTAATGAATCGAAACAGATTTGCTGTTCTTCTTCGGTGCCTTCAATTTGATAATCCAGATGACCGAAAGGATCCCTCCGCCCCGATTGCAGAAATTTTTGCACAATTTATAAAAAAAAATTCCAGGATGCTTATATGATTGGGACGTCAGCCACCATTGATGAGATGTTAATTGGATTTTGTAGGAGATGCAAATTCAAAATGTATCTTCCACTAAAACCTGATAAATATGAGCTAAAGTTCTGATGCCTTACAGTTTCTTGCAATAGCTATTTTTTAATGGTTATTTATATTTAGGCAAGAATTTAGATGGACGATCTTTATCAGAGAAGGACCATAAATTTTCCAAACTTAATCTGTATTGGGATTAGCCAAACATCTATTTTGTACTAATAGAAATATATAACTGGTTTAGTTCAATTGAAATAGTTCGCAAATTAAGAGACAGAGATTTGACTTATGTAGGGACTCCAGAGAAAAATAAACCTGAAATTTCTCTTTCATTTCTTCCACATTGAAGGAAAGCTGTTGGCTCCTCCATGTATGGATTTACAAAATAAATAACCTTCTTGTCATATGTTTTGAAGAAAAATCATACAGTATGTTTAGTATCCTTCATGAATCAAAATGAATACATCAAACCCGATAGCAACAAACCTGAAATTATTATTTACTAGAACAGTAAAAAAGGAGGTGTTGATTCATTGGACCAAAAGTGTGCCATATATTCTAGTGGGAGGCATACCAGAATATGGCCTATGGCAATATTTTTCAGAATATTGGATATTAGTTTAATAAATTATTTCATCCTTTACAATTGTAACATTATGGTAACACCAGTAAGAAGATAACCAGGCTTAACTTTGTCAAACAATTAGCAAAATCATTGGTTAGAAATGAAATGATGAGAAGACTGGATAAAAAAATACCGAGAGAGCTGAAGGCTTCAATTTGAAAAATTCTGCAAGTAGAGGAAATGTCACAAGACAAACATTTAGATAAAATTGAAAAAAGAAAAACATGGGTTCTGTATGATCCAAAGTTAAAGACAAAAACTTTTCATTTGTGTTATATGTGTAAAAAAACAATATGTAATGAATGCTGTAAGACTCTGAAAACATTGCAGTAAATAACTAAGTAACTAATTATTTATTATTATAATATATTTGTTTCTCAATTTATAAAATGTGTTTTGATCAATAAATGAAAAATTTAACTATATAAAGTAAATTTAACAACATATCTCACATTTAATTTTTAAAGATTAAGAAAATTGTATGAGCAATCATTATGACCTCATGTCTAATAGCATAGCCGAAATACCGTGTTTCCCCAAAAATAAGACAGGGCCTTATTTTCTTCTGGCAGTGGCCACTCTGGGCGTACGGTCTATGGTTGTGGGCCAGCTGCCAGCAGAGCGTACAACCAGAGCAGCCACTGCTGGAAGATTCAGCAGCCTACTTTCGTGGTTTGGAAGCCACCAAAAAAGCCATGTTGGGATGGCTGCAGCAGCAGCAGTGGCAGCAGTGGCAGCAGTGATGCCCTGGCTTTGTAGGGAGAGCTGGGCCAGGGCATTGTGAGTCTGGGAGGCACATGAGCAGGGAGCGGAACAGCCACTCGCTCAACCCTTCTCTCCAGCTGTGCAGAGTGCCATTCACTGGCATTTCAAAGGTGCCAAGCTGCGGGAGCTGCAGGAGCTGGGCAGCGGCAAACAGGCACTCACTCGGCTTGGCAATACCCCTAGATCAGTGAATGGCGCTGTGCCCAGATGGAAAGGGGGTTTGCAGGGTGGCTGCTCGTGAGCATGGTCGCTTCATGGCTACTGTGTTGCGCTACTGCGACAGCGCAACACAGCTGTTCACCCCTGAGGCTGTGCCCAGCTTTTTGGGAGCCCACTCACAAGAGAGCAGCCGCCCAGCAACCCCTCTCTAGCTGGACACAGCGCCACTCACCAACTTAGCAGTATCCCGAAGGCGCCAAGCAATGAAAGCACCTTTTCCCCCATCCTGGTTCCTGCAGCTTGGCACCTTCGGGATACCACTAGGTTGGTAAGTGGCACTTCACCTGGCCGGAACAGGGGTTGTCCAGGGGGCTTATTTTCAGGGGAGGCTCTATATTTTTGCCCACCCGAAAAATGTGGCATGGCCTTAGTTTCAGGACATGTCAAATTTTGGGGGAAATGCGGTAGTATGTCTGTTGTTAAGTATGTAATTATTAATTAAAATAATTCAAAACAGAGTCAACTACATATAAATTGTCCATATAGTCAGGCTGGCACCATAGGAGATACTGTTAGTCATGCTGATGATCATGCTTGTGATTGAATAGTTATATATTGAATTAATTACAAACCCATTAAATTATTTACTATAAACTTGACATCAGAGATTTTAATGGAATGAAAGAGCTTTTAATAAAAGCTCCAAATAATATCTCATGCTACTACTCTTTTGCTACACTATTGCCTTTCCAGGATCTCTACTATAGATACTTTATTTTACTTGAATTCCTTTCTGTGACTCGTCAGCTAACATTTCATCATTTTTCTATTTAATAAATCATTTAAAACATTTTTATTCAAATGACTATAAGAGATTTCATAATCTCTACTAATCTCTACTAATGTTTTGGAAAAGGAAAAATGAGTTGACTCTTAAGACACATAAATGGTAGTCTGAAGTTTTATAGCTCTACATGTCCCAAAAGTGCTTTTTCAAAAAGGCAATTGGCGTTTCTTGATTTTTTTTCCTTTGAAAATGTTTCACTCCTCATCCAAGAAGCTTGTTCAAAATTTAAGTTGTTTTAAAAGGACCTTTTGAACAACCATGACCTGGATAATCAAGAATCTAAATAGTGATATACCTGTATAGATTATTTCTGTTGATACTTTAATTATTAAGGTGGTGTAACTTTAACCATTAAGATGGAATATCATCAGACACTGCTGGCCATATCTTTTGAGTTTAAGAAAATCACACCTGTCCAAAATCTTACATCTGTACAGGAACTATAGTGTAAGCCTGTGCTTCTAATGAGAAATTTGACCCGCTGAATTCAATACGCTCAGTCTTATAGTCTATGACTATACATAGTAGATAAACAGAATATGAAATTCTCCACAAGTCCAAAATAGCTTAATAAAGAAAGCCACATGACCATACAAAATTTCTTCACATAACGCTAGCTCTATTGGCTGAGAAAAAGAGATGAGCACTGCACCCTAGATTCGGACGTGATTGGATAGGGAAATCTTTACTTTTATATATTATTATTTTAAGAGTTAATTACTAATTGCAATTCTTTCAAGACTTTTGAAGAGTTCAGATGTACATTTAATGTATCTCGGTAGTAATATGTTATTTTTTATACTCATTCCTTTCTCCTTTCCCAAAAGAATTATTGTGGAACCAGATTAACTTAAATACTTTTCACTTAGCCAGAGATCAAAAGCCCTCAAAAAAAAGTGTAAGAAGTAGAAAACATGACTTTTTCTAGTATGGAAAAAGTAATAGAAAAATTCAACTGGCATTATTTTCTCTTTTTTTAAGAATGTGTAAAAATTAAATCATTCTCAAAAACAAAATTAAAAGGGAGGGAGAACACTCACAATTTCTAAGAAACCTTGTTTCTTATTGTTCTATTTAAATTTTTCTATAAAGGTATAATTCTCTATGTTTTACCACATAAACCAGCAAAAGTAACAGAATACCAAATGTCATACATTTTAAATCCTGTAAAGATCAATAGATATACTGGAAAGCTAAATATCACAGTAGGTAAACTGTCAATCAATTTTTTTAATCTCAAAAATCTTTATAAATGACTTGAAGATATAAGAAAATATTTCAAATGAAGAAAGTGGAGAGAATTTAAAATGACAAACTAGAGAAATTAGGATTAAAATAATCTCATTACAATTTTGGAAATACCTACAAACTCCACAACATTTATTGTTTTTTAAAGGACTGGCAAACACATAAAATAATTGCTCCAAGATCACATCACCTTGATGATTTTTACAAAACATCTAAGCAGAATATAAATTTGAAGCTGCCATAAAAGTTAGCCAGGCGGGGTGGGGGATGGGAGCTTTAGCCATTTGGTAACTGCATTTTTAAAACACCTGTTTTAAAACACTTGCAGTGACTCATTGCCAACTAATTTTCCCATTCAATTTTCCCAAGTATGTTTCAAGTCCTAGAAATGAACTCAAATGTAGTGCAAATCAAGGAACTCAAAAACATCACTATAGAATACAAAAAAACATATTAGCAGAAACCATACAAATTTTTCAGCAACAATATTACAGTGGGAACATGCATCCAGGACATCAATAACTTGCACCTTCTGAGTTGGTATAGCTGTTCATTGGTAAAATCAACCCTAAGCAATATTTTAACAGATTTTCTAGTTGCAACAAGGACATAATCCTCTTCAGGAAAACAAAAATTTAAATTTGTGGCTAAGAACTGCTACCTTAAGAACTCATTGATTTGGATAGTAAAGTATGTTTGGAGTAGCTCAGCCTGTAGGGCTTTATTTCAAGCAGACAAGCTGCTAGGTAGGTTTACTATTATAACCTGTAATGGTTTCCCAAACCAACAACAACAACAGAAATTCCCAAAATGATATGACATTCAATCTACAAAATATTAGAACAAAATGTTGGAAAGAATGGAACTAATAAGAAACTAAACATAAGAGATGACAAATCTCTCTCTCAGCAATGTTATTAATATTTCATATCTTTATTTTATAGATAAATTACTCTGCATTTCCTACCTGGGTTGATCATGCTGTGCATTCTTTGCTGAGCCAAGAGCTGATCACGTCTTGAAACTCCATCTGAGGAAAAACAATTCACTCTCATAAATTGTCTGCAACATATTCCAATCAGTCTGCAGTGCAGCTACATGAAAGATTCATCACCAATCGTACAGGGATGTTGGAAACAAACCTTTCTGAGGGATTTAAACAATATTCATAGTACAAATTGCCAAAATGAATATATACACTATGAACTACTTTCATACAGACAGATTTCTAAGTTATCAATCCAGTTTAATTTATAATGAAATCCAGTTCTAATACAATTCACTATGTGTATGTGTTTGCATGTATGTATATGTGTGCATGTATCAAATGAGAGAAAATATATGATGTACCTTAGTTGTGTTCTGCATTCAAAGAGCAGGTGGAAGAAAGATAAATTTCTCTTTCAATTTATTCTTGGGAATCGAATGAGAGAAACAAAGCCACTGAAATTCAAAGACTAGCAGACATTTTCTAGGGATTGTATTCCCTATGGATTTCAGTTTCAATTACTCTCAACCCTGGCACATGTCATTATCCTTAGAGTCCAATGCTTCCTCTTCCTCCTCCTGTTCTGTCTTTGCCTTTCTGCCTGCCTCTCTTCCTCTACTTGGCAAAATTGGCTGGAGCTAGTGAGTGCTCATTTGCATACAGATCAACAACAGCAGAGCCCTCAGGCAACAGAAATAGAACAATGGCTGGTCTGAGCCAAAAATAGGTCAAGCGTGGCCTGATGATCGGAGCCTTCATGAATGCATTTAAAAATATTTCAGCAAACCCAGCTGGCCGGTCTCCGTCTTAAAAAGCTGCAGGTCTCCAATGTAATCCCTCAGAAGCAATTCTTTGTCCCACTGCCAAACCTGCATGCATCTCTCTCTCTCTCTCTCCCCCTCCCCCCTCTCCTCTTTATGTTCTCTCTCTATTTGCATGTATGTTTACATTTTTAAATCTGTTTATGCATGTGATGGAGAGAGATCAGTATTTTAATTTCAGCCAATGACTCTCTTTGGTGGATAGTAAACTGGATTGCCAATGAGTACAAGGGAAATAGACCTGTGTAAGTTCAGAAATAACACTGTGGAAGCTTCTACTCATGCTGTGGTTTTTGCTTCACCGTCACACAACAAACCTGAATGTTCTATTTTTGTTTGCTGTTTCTCCTGCTTTATTGCAGAGAGTTGGCTGGCTGGAGCAATGCTATTATCACATATTTTGGGCATTGACAGACATCAGAGCTTCCTAAGGGTCCCACTGCTTTATACATTTTGAATAAACTAATGATATTAATGGTTCGTGCTTATTTCAAAGCATGGATGCTTTGGAAAATTGCTATGTAGAAATTATGGCTCTTTGTTCTTGGAAACTCTCAATTCAGCAATATTTGTTCTTCTTTATTAATCTGCAGACTTGATTACTGGATCATTGTTTTACTATATGACCCATATCCATTTTGGTAACAACTTCCATAAATGTCTTAAAATTATATTGTTTGCTGGTGAGTCAGATAGTATGTATGACTCCAAAAAGATTGAATAAATCTCTTCATCATAATTTATCCATAGCAATGGTAACATGCACTTAAATGCATCAGTTCGATATTTTCTTCCTGGACCATTGTGTTGGGATCAAAAGTTTTACTTATACCTTAGTCTCACATCTTCTTATACCTTATAATTTTATTTCATACCTCTGTGGCTATACTTCTGAGCATTCAAAACTTGCAGCAACACTTAAGATGTTCCAAATTTTGAAATATAACACAGACTTCTTAAAAAGATGAAAATAAAACCAAACAAATCATCCAATCGAACCAACTTCAGTATATGTGATGCCAATAAAAAGCATAAGTGCAAGTAAAGAAAAGAAACAAATTGCTCTATTTAGAGTTCACTTATAAGAAAACAGAATTGATATACATATTACAGAATGGAAATGTAAAAAAAATACCAAAAACTATTGACATATATAAATCTTAGCACTATTTCAAAGTAAATAGCAGAAGAAGCCAGTGGTAGATAGAGCAGTGCAATTTTAAGGACATAACAAGTTTAATAGAACGTGTTATTATTTATGAGGCATAGAAATGTGGGAACCCAGCCCTTTCTTAGAAGAATGAAATGTTTTAAGGAATATTTAAAAAGGCAGAATATTATATTTCCCAAATGGAGAAACATTTTTTTTAGAGAGAGAAAGCAACCCCATTTCCTTAATATGCCCAGCAGATATTTTATGCCCATTAAGAAAGATTGGGCCAGCCTATTCAGAAACCAAATGGAGAAGGCCACCTTTCAGAAATGCAGATTTGGTAATCCATTCAAGACAGGATATTTTGAAACAAAGGCAGAATGGTAGAATTAGCCCTCACTCAAGATCCAACACAGGGCAAAGCCACTAAGCCACTAGGAATTGCCCAACAGAGCAGTCCAAACTTCAACCAAACTTAACTCAGACAAACACCTAGGATTTGTACTTTGTCTATAGAAGCAGCTATGATCCCTACATGGCCCCATGGGAGTTTGACAACAGCCAATAGAATACATGTACATGCACAGGAATAGGAAGTTCAAGTGCAAAGCCCAAAAAAAGTATAAAACCCCCTCACTCTCAACTCCATTTTGTCAGCTGTATGAGAATCATGTGCTTGATAGTTCTGTTCATCATTAAACCATCTTTCCAATCAGTCATCAGCTTCTATTTTGTCTCTAATGCCTTTCTCCCGGTTTGGAATTGAACCAAATGGGTATTTCTTCCTATAATTCCCCCTTGTCATTCATTTTTTCCTGGATTGATTAATATAACTTGATAATAACTGGTGAAAATATATATGATTATTTATTGCAAATTTAACTTGCATAAAATTATCTAAATATCATTTGAATAATAATATTAATACAACAATAAAACTTGTTTATTAGTTTCATCCATGACTGCTAACAAGTCATTAACAAAACAAACTGAGTGATGTCAGAGAAACTGGAATGTTACTATGTCCTCTGTTTGAATGTGAGCTGTATATAATCATTGTATACCTGTGAAACACAGAAAATTATAGGTTTCGTTTAGCCCATAACAGACATAATTCACTGAAAAGATATAAGCCACTAGATATACCACTGAAAGTATGTAGTCCTACTGGTTCCATTCATTTAAGCCAGATATTCACAAGATGGCTTCCCAGTATTGTGGAATGTGTATAAAATAGATTCATTTATTATTATTTGTGTCATTTATATTCCTTGTTTCCGTTAACAAAATGCAAAATGAATATGAAAAGTAACAAACAGCAAAATCTCTAACAAACACCATGTTAAAAGATATAAAAACAATAAAATCGGATGGGACAATCTGGCAGCCAATTAAAAAATGTAAGAACGGAGTAAAAAAAGAGAACAAAACATGACATATTAATCTAAATGATGTAGTAAACAGATGTAACTTTTATTTCATTGTTATTTTCAGCTCTGAAAGAGTATTGGATAAAGCCAACTCCCTCAGAGAAAACAAAAGATAGTATGACAGAAAAGAACCCCTATTAGTTGAGCACCTTATTCTATGACAAATATAAAGTTTTTAGCAATCTCTATTAAATGTAAAGACAGTAAACTGGGACTTTACAATCCAGAAGAATACATGGTTCCTTTCATAATTTAGGTGCCAAGTTTGAGATGATAGTGCCCTAATGGCGAACCTATGACAAACGTGCCCAAAGTGGCACTCAGAGCCATCTCACCTGCCATGCACAGTGTCAACTGTTGCTCTTCTGAGTTCCTGACGTGCATGCGCATGCAATGATCAGCTGGCCTTTGTGCAAGCAGCAGTGCCAGAAACCAGAAGTAATACTTTTTCCGGTAAACACATGTTCCTTGGGCAACTCCTCTTCCTGGTCACAGTCTAGATGAGCATGAAGTGCTCCCTTTTTGGCACAGGGTGCCAAAATGGTTTGCCATCACTATGATAGTACATAGATTAATTTCACTGCAATCTATAGTGATCATTTAGCCATTGCAGAAAAGGAAGGAAGGAAGGAAGGAAGGAAGGAAGGAAGGAAGGAAGGAACTCAGAAGAGCAACAGTTGACACTGTGCATGGCAGGTGAGATGGCTCTGAGTGCCA